GACTACGCAATCTACTGGACAAAGGAATACGTACTGATCGTCTACCCTGGCGTCCAATCAACAACCCCGGGCGATATTTTCTATGGCTACGGCGAGCCTTCGTAATAAGGTTCTTGTTTATCATGCAGCTGTTCACCCCGAACTCGTCTGTGGTTTTTAAACCTGTTGTGTGCGAATCGAAGGCACGAGCGCCTACGTCAAATCTTGAAAGGCCTCACTGTGCTCACCAAAGATGCTAGATGATACTAACAACCGGTCCTCTAAATAGCCATCAGGTGCACTGGTTCAACCATCCTACCGAGATGAATTAATCAACCACCTCCCTTCTAATCCCTGTCCTAGTTGGCGTTGTCGCCTTGGTGAACAATTGAAAATATGGGTAAACGTCATCAACAGACGGAGCATCTAGGATTCCCATACATCTACGGGGTCCGCAACACGTGCATACATACATACATACATACATACATACATACACACATACATACATACATACACACATACATACATACATACATACATACTTACCCAGACACATATATATATATATATATATAAAGGTTAGATATGGTATTGAACCAGGCGGAAACTAGTAAGTTCGCCGTGAACGACATGCAAAACATGGGTTGAATTACAGATCAATTGTGCCACGTTTGACTTTTCATTCCCAAAATGAAATGATGTTAAAAAAAATGCAAACTAATGTGACTGATGTAAAACAGCACTCAAATCAATCAATTTCGTGATATCCCAAACGGTCCTATGAATGGTTAAAAAAAAACGTTCTCCTACTTATGCGTACGCCTACTTGGGTCTTCCACATTCTCGAATATTTATAAACACACTGGTGATAGGCAGTTCCCTTGGTATAACGACATGTTCTGTCCGTTAGTATTCATGTGATATACCGTGAAACTCTCGTACAGTTCCATTATGCACCACGCAGTTTAATTGTGTATTTAAATTGATGTCCATTTTTCATTCAGGAAGTAAGTTATTCCCTATGTTAGTGCTAATTTGCCAGTTGATCTGCCAGCTAAACTCAAATGCAATCTAGCCCTATTTACGCGCAAGTTTGCAAGATATTCATTGGGGGCTCTTTAATTGTGTTAGTTTGAACTGGTGTCCAGCTTCGTCATTTTCGATCAGAACACCGGTCATAGGTAAACATGTGTTTACGGTTCATCCTCAAGCCAGTACAATCATATTTATGTAAAACAATAACCGTGTGTGAGTGATGTATTGGAAGGTCAATTAGTGAGAGCAAAATGGTGATGAAGGGAGAAATTTTCATCTTTTCCTCATATGAACGGATTACATAACCGTTGCTGATTAATTCGGGCTATCACTCGGCTCGTGCATGATGTTAACTAAAACAGCCTTGTGTTTGTGCTGTGTTACCCTGTAAAAGAAGATGAAAGTTGACCAAATGTGCAACGGCCGAACTTGAGATAGCCCCGTTCTCCCTATGGTTTGATGTTCATTGATGCGTCCAAATAGGTGCTTCGTCGTCAATGGCATCGCTGGTCTACTTGATCTACTTGAGTCTTGATGAAGTCAACATTCGATGACTGGTGATGTCAAAAACACATCTGAGTTTGATAATGTGTGTTGTCCTAATTGCAGCACTTGGGACTCTAGTAACCCTCTCGGATATTGGATCTTCTTTGAACGGCCTTTTGATAACTGCAGTCTTTTCCTCACATGTAACTCCAGGTGCCGGTTTCATTCTTTCAAACCAGCTGCCATCCGCAAACGTCTCACGTTAGCCATTTTCTATCAGAGTCTTCCGCACAACCGATAATTCTGTTTCTAATGCTTCTTCGGAGTGGTTATATCTTACTTTGAGTATGCGACAATATGGCAGATTACGCTTGTAGGCGAACGGTACAGGACTATGGAAGTTTATGTACCCCATGTTCTATGTGGCTTTTCGATGCGCTTTCCACTGAATGTAGCCACCCGAATGTCTCGTTACATTCAAAACGGCCCACAGCGGTACGCTTCACAGTTGAGAAGGAAGAGAATAAATTGCCATTCCTCAATGTAAATTTAACGAAGCGAACATCCTAATAGATGGTTAATCGTAAGCAGATGATTGTTACTCCACTTCAGTAACTTTGTAATGTGCGATCCTGACTCACTGCTGAGTGAGGCTAGCATCACCAATGGCAGCATCATCGGTGGGAAAGCATCGAGTTAGTACTGAATATGCCACCATATGGTTCTTTATTTTTCATTACTATTGTGCGATGAACAGCTTGAGGCGTGAACTCCGTACTCATCAGGACCTCCTGTTCACTCATGGGAATCGACAACCTAATCACCGAACTCTACCTCTAATAACATTGACTCACCTTCAGTTAAAAATATAAATATGATCTGTCATTAATACGGGTGATCATGGAGTCTCGGATGAACAAGGTTGGTTTGTGGTGGTTGGATTCAAATGCGATTTTACACTGATACGCACAAATAAGAACTGTTTGGATTGCTCGGCTGCCATCATCTTAGGCTCGTTTATTCATTAATAACCCTGTTCACAAAACTAAACGATTGGTTGTCTTTCTGCGTTTGGCAAACGTTAACACGTATGACTGCTTTTTCACCAACTATGCAGTTCTGCTTGTGTTCTGATTCGCCTTGGATTTAGAATCATCAGTTTTCTGAGTGTGTTCCATCCTCAAGTTTTCTGAAATCGTCTTCAATGGTTTACTTAATCTCGACTATCAAATCGATCCCTAAAAATTACATCCACAGAATCCACTCGACAGCCCAGCAAACGTCGAAAACGCAAGGGCAGTGCTGCCGCAGCTGAAGGAGGAAGTAACAACAGCGGTGGAAGTAACACTGGCCGTGCGTCCAAAAGAAAGCAGTCACCAGTTCCACTTCCGTCACACCACATGGCACAACCTGGTGTAAGTTCAACGATTTTGTCGACTGGTCTCATCATGGACCTAATCACTTCGTCCAAGGTCAAATGAAAATATCCCGTATAAATTTCGCTAAATGCTCTGTATCTGAGCTGCTTTCTTTCTGTTTCCGTCATCTAAGATGCGGTCGGCAGTTTTTCAACTTCCGGGTGCTGGGATGTTCTAGACTATGAAGTCCCTTTAACTCTTTCTGATTTAAAAGGAGTTTCAGCATATCGCAAGAACCTTAGGTCCACTCAGTTTACTTAAGCTTTCCGAGCAGCAAAAACGGTGGCGGTTGTTGAGATCCCGGGTGTTGAGGTTGTACCAAGTTCGTTTTTTATTTTTTATATTTCACATGCATCTAATTTCAGACTGCCAAACATATCACAGCGCAATGCTCTTACAACAATGCGATTGAATCATGAGTTGATAAACGTAACAACGGTCTTATCCGAGTATATACTTGTCAGGCGCTGCTTGAAACCTGTTCGGAACGCTTAAACTCATACGACCTCCGCAAGTAAATTCAAAGCTATCTGATGCTGATCACTTGTGGTAGGGTGATGGCATTTGATATATATCGTTCGTCAAAATGAAAAAAAGTTTCGATTTATTTTTCCATTGTCATTATTATCATCATCATAATTCTTATACAGACTTTGGTAAACGGTAGTGATAGTGTATACAGTTGCAGAGACATTGCGAACATACTTGGTGCCAACGAAACAACAAAAATAACAACATGGGTAGGGGTTGGGATACGTAACAGAGTAAAAGAGGGGTCAGACAGTTGATTTGAATAATTGGAATAACACTTTTTTTTTCAAACAAAACAACAGAGTGGCGAACAAGCTCGTTTTCAGAGATTCGTATTCATGCCAATACATCTCAATATATATCACTACTTGGGAATAAAACACTTTTTTTGTTTGGTTTGCGTAAACTTTTGATATTTTTTCTTTGGTTTATTGCTGTTTTTATGGAGACGGAATTTCGACAGACAGACAGCATTCACGTCATTAACTTCTATTCTCAGTTTCCAGTTCCGTTTGTACAACCATTAACCATGCACTATCATGCGCCGGTATTGGTTGCTGTCTTTCGGCTACCCATTTGGATGAACATGCGGAGAAAGACAGGAAAAGTTGAAAGTAGGATCGAAGAAAAAATTTAGGATTTCGTTGCACAAATTTTGCATAGAAATCGACAAGATGTACGAACGGCATTGTTTACGACACCCAGCCATATCACTCAGTGGCATTTCGCCTGCTGAAGGAACTTGGCAATTGTTTGCAAACGTTTCATCTCCAGCCGAGGTGACATCATTAGTGCTTGTGAAGTGGCAGTGTTCCGCTTGTCCCGATCGTTTGTGTTCTCCACTGATTATTTTTGTCCCTTGTTCTCACTGTGTTCGACTCGG